ACAGGCCGATGGATCCGGGAAGCGACCGCCAACACGGAACCCTCAGCCGGGCGCCGGGGCTTCGGCCGCCGCTATTTGGGGGAAAAGGGTGTGCCGGCGGGTGCCGACGCCAAGCCGAGAGTGGGACTTGGATGCGGGCTGACTCCCTCCCGACCCCGTGCCCTCGCCGGGCTTCCCGCTCCACAAACACCTTTAGCTTTTGTTGTGGCTTCACCAGCCGCCTCGTGTCTCCGCAGCCCCGCCGGGCCTCGGGGAGTGACTGTGTCCTACTCCGGCCGGAATAAAAGTGCCGGGAGAGGTGGCGGGGCTTCCGGAGAGAGGCGGCAACTTGGTGTCCCCGCGGCCCCCCGCAGCAGACGCGGCCGGTGCCTGCTCGCTCTCACCCGGTCTGCAGTCACAGTGCTTTGGGGCCGGGCTCCCAGAGGCCAGCAACAGGCTTAAGACTGTGAGTTAAAGGCGAGACATTGGGAGTAAAGAGAGTTAAAGAGCAGCCGCGTCCCTCCCTCTTTTCTTCTTACCCCTTCTCCCTTATTCTGGCGCCCAAACCTCGGTCCTCAGAATATCCCAACCCTCGTCCACTCCTAGGCCTCCGCCGCCTGGGTGGTGAGTGCGCAGCCCTGGGAGGGTCCTGTGGATTTCTGATTACAAAGTTGAGGTCTGTCCAAGGGGGTGAAGGGGCCGGGGTCTCCCTCCGAGCAGGCAGGCAGCGAGTGGGGACTGGGAGCTGGACCAAGTGGCCAGAAAGACCCCGAGGGAGGGGACTGGGCACTGCCTGCCACCAAGAACAGCACCCCCTTCCAGCTCCTCTCGCTGGCATGTCCCCCATGGTGAAGCGCACAGAGCGACAGGAGTCACCCGTGGGTCGGCATGCCGCCAGCGAGCTCTGCTGCTCACAGCCACAGCCCTCACCTTCTACCTCTCACTCAGGGAAGGAGGCGACAGGCCAGGCTGCACCCGCCGTGGCCTCCTCTAGGCTCCCACAGTTGGAGACCCGTTACTTACCCGAAGTGGTGAGGAAGTAGGGGTGGTGGTGGTCTCCCTTATGCAGAGGGTGATGGGGGTGAGGAGCCAGGAGGGTGGGGGTGGGCATGAGGGGGTAGCCATAGTCTAGCAGAGGCACCCGGGAGGCCAAGGAGCTGGCGAAATGGTCGGGGGGCACCTCCCTGAGTGGCTTGGGCTTGTGCAGCAGGATGTCCTCAATGAAGAAAGACGTGGGCCTCTGAGAAGATGCCGGGTGTAGGGGGGAGGTGAAGTTGAGGTTCATCTTGGTCCGAGCCCCCAAACACAGAAAGAAGGCCCAGGAGGAAGTGTAGGGAGCAGGCAGCGGCTCCGCACGCCCGGCCAGGAGCCGACAGCCACCCCTCGAGGCTGGTATCTCCAGGCTCTCCCCCGGCCCTGGGCTACCCCTGGCGCTGGAGGAGAGAAGACTAGCTCCTGGGTAGGTTGGGTCTGAGTGTAGGAGAATTGGCAGCTTGGAGAGGGGGCCAGGAGAGCCAATGGCGAGGCTGCCAGCAGCGGAGGGGCGGGTGCGGGCTCGGGGCGTGGCGGGGAGCTGTCCGCGGTGCTGAATCCGGCCTTCCAGACCCGGCAGAGCGGAGGAGACCAGGTTCTTGCTCCTACCAAGATTCTCCACCTTAATTTCTGCCCCTCCAACTGCAGGAGCTGTTTGCTCCCAGCTGTTTTTAAAGAACGCTAAAAAGACAAAGTCTCTGTCCCCCAACAACTCCTCTTTAGAGAACAGAAAGCACTTAAAAGGCCCAAAGCAATAGGGATAAGGCATTTATTTTGGCATTTGGGTCTGAGTTTTAAAATTTTAGAAAAATGGCCCTGCAGGGTGTGACTCAGTAGATGAGCATCGACCTAGGAACCAGGAGCTCATGGTTCGATTCCTGGTCAGGGCACATGCCCAGGTTGCGGGCTCGATCCCCAGTAGGGGGCGTGTAGGAAGCAGCCGATTCTCTCTCATCATTGATGTCTCTCTCTCTCTCCCTCTCCCTTCCTCTCTGAAATCAATAAAAATGTATTTTTAAAAAATAAATAAATACTTAGAAAAATGAAAGCAAAGGAGAAGTGAGAAGAGAGTCCACGTCTGATAGACCCACCCTAAATTGATGGCTGAGGGATGACTAGATTGTTGAGGTAGATAAATAAAATGATGGATCATAATATTCTTGACCTCAGTTATAGAGGGTGGTGTGAGGGAAGTTATATCTGCATCAGTCAAGTAATATGGTCTGTGTAAATCTGTCCAGAGCTACTCTTAACGCCAGTCTCCACTTCCTATCAAATTTTCATTATCTCCTCCTCACTCCACTCGCAGGGCTTGCTATTTCTGCTAGACTTACCCCTTTTAACCTCCCCGCCCCCCCAAACCCCCCCCCACACACATACTAGTATACTTGTGCTAAGGTTTTTTGTCTCCCATTCCCTTTCCAGCCTTTCTTTTCATTTCCTTCCCTCCCAATATTTGTTTTCCTGTTTGTCTTTTTCTAATCTGTCACATTTATTTCCCTTGAGTCAATTTGCTAAAATGAAGTTGATCATCTCCAGCACAGCCGGGCTAACTTTGGCTCGCATCTCCAAAAATTGCTCTAATTATTGGTGTTAAACTCAAGGAAATTAAAAGAAGCCACTTCTCTTCCATCTCCCCATTTTTAAGCTCTAATTTGTTGAAATCTAGTTGTCATCACAATTCCAATCACTACTGCTAATAGCAAAAGTGTTTTAATAGACACTGAGTCCTCACAACCCATGCTATTAGGTAATTAGAGGAGGTGTTAGAAAGCCAAGTGCTAATCCTTGGGCGCCCGGGTAGAATTTTCATCTGATCTAGCAGGTAAAACAAATTAATTACCAGAATCAATTAGGCCCCAAACTACAGTGCTGCAGGAAGTGGGAGCGCCGCGCTCCATATGGATGGCCTGGTAAAAATGGTAAACAGAGGAGAAGAGTGAGAGGAAGGAGAAAGAGGGGGGAAATAACTTTAAAATAAGATCTTAGCAAGTAGGCATCTAAATAAAGTCAGAATGCTTTGTCCTGAAGTCTGAAATGTGATTTTTGTTTTAAGTTCCTCACGGTAAGAGCTGAAGATGGAGAGCAGGCCACCGAGAGGTGACCACGGAGAGGGAAAATGCAGGCTCCAGAAGCTGCGCCTTAGTCCTTAGCCCTGGTCCCGTCCAGCCATCCCCCGCAGCGCTAGAGAGGAACTCAGGAGGCTCAGACTCCAGACTCCTAAGAGGCCCTGGGGGTGCAGTCCACGCTGTAGGAAGTCCACCGCCTCCCAGTGAGAGCCTCGGGCCAGTGGAAACCAAGCCATCCTGTCTCCTAAGACCCTAAGGCTGAGGGGCGATTGAGCACGTGCCTGCCCGCCCTCTTCTCTCTGCCAACGCGGAGGCCGAGCACGGACTTGCATTCAGCCTTGGAGATGGGAATTCAGCCTCCATAGGGGTGGGGACTAACTCCTGCTCGGATGGTGCAATGGAAAGGTGGTTGAATGTCTCTTTGGGAGCAGGGCCAGTAAACGCGTTTGGGGGAGACACTTACCTTTGACCCAAGGCACTGCAAACGTTTTCTCAGAACAGAATTCAGCCTTAAGCATTTCAGAGAGTTCACAGTATGGGAGGAGGGAAGAGAAGGCCGG